TCTCATCATCTACTTCATTTGGTGTTTCCTTATACTATAGTGTACCTGTTCGAGTGTCTATAGACGTTCGCATCACTAGCTCATTCACTTGCAGAGGGATCTTTTTCAACTTTGAAGATGTCCTAATCTTCCATCTTTGCAGATATTTCGGCGACTTCAGCAAAATATTTAAAAAATTTCGGGCGAATACCCAAGAACTAGCGTAGCGCAGTTGGTTAGACAGATTTCTTACATAAGGAATTAGTTAAACTATTTCAGGCATGATTACTACAAACGGCCTTGTTTCCTTATAAGATGGTACAATTATTTATATATTCCACCATCAAAGTTTGGGCTTTTCTCCAGGGACGGTCTTCAGTAACAGCAGCCTCATGTATTTTGGAGACTGACATGTGAATGATCATGATGACAGTAGTGAGTTTCTCCATTATTCCAGCTGTCTACTCAAATAATATTTACTCGTGAAGTGTTTATTTGGAGCATAGATTATGAATTCCATCTTTACACCGTTTCTTACTAAAAGCATCTAGATTCGCCGGTAAAATTACGAATAGAAACCTTATACGACACGACCGAATAGTACTTCAAGTGTACTTTCAAATGATTTATTACTTATTATTTGTCAACAGCTGATGTTAGGTCTGTGAATAATCCCGCTGATTCATCGAATTAGTGAATAAAAATCCGTGTTCTTAGCTTTCAATATCGGAAGAAGGTTCTAAGTTGCGTTGAAAATAGGCAGTTGAGTTACCATTGAAAGAGAACATTACAGGATGAACCGAATTTCGACGGTTGGTATTTCAGTTGCAAGTATTTTCTGTTACAAATCCATATGGCAGAACGTTTTACTTTAGAAAAAACAGCATTTTTTTGCTAGCAGATATTTAGTTTCATATTTATGTTTTTAGTTTTCCTGTCGTTTAAATTAGAAAATTCATAATAAACTTGCGTTGTCTTTCATAATCTCGTTAGTACATCTATTTGTATGGGTGTGAGCATCAACTGAAAGCTTTTGTAGGCCACCAACTAAGCTAAAGGTGTTCTTACTTCTGATTACTGGACGGTGTAAAGCTTTGTGAGTAGACCTATACGGAAAACTGTAGTTCAGGTTTCCTGACATGTAAAACCTACTGTGATGTCATTACTCCACGGGATTTTCAGCCGTAATGAAATGGCCTATTGGCATGATACAACACTTTAATGAAACATCTAATATATTCGTCCCCTAAAAGATGATGAGAATTCATATTAGTGTGTCAGTGTTGTTGGTGTGCAACATGCTTCCTGTCAGAAGCTACAGAAATAGTGGATATATCTAAGAAGCATATTTTCAAACGGAACTCTACTGTCCCACATGAGATGATTTTGATAGTGGTCATAGGTGGTCGCTTTAATCTAAGTTAAAGTTGGCTTGGCCACGTTAGCCTATGAAATTATAAGTCAGTACGTCTACCCCTTGTGCTAACGATCCTGAAATATTGATCAAAACTACAAAATGAATGAGTTACAAACATTCTCTCGGCCCTAACCAACAGGCGGGGACCTTCGGAATACAACTTTCTAACTTCAAGCAACGTTATCAAAGGACTTATGAGTTTAACATCTTTCAAAGTGCACAACACATGAAAAGTGCGAAGAATTACGTTGGAAAGTCTAGAAGCCACGATTTCAAGATGTGCACAGTCCGCTACGAAAGCTCCAGTCATTAGAGAACGTTGTATCAGTTCAGCAAATTTATTTAATATACGTACGATATTTTCAGTGAAATCCTTTTTTTGTCTAGGCAAACATTACTGAATGTGCTCAGCCACGGTAATCTCTGATTGCGTTAGAATAGCGAGTAACTACACACTAACATTCACTATAGAACATTCTCATTTCTGATTGTTGGCATTGTACTTTGTGTCAACACAAATTACTTCTAGCAAAAACTGCATCAACAGATTCGGTGACGTTGTCACTATGGTTACAATACTCTCTTATTCCCTCTTTTCATCGTAGTATACCAATGACCTTCAGCCGTGAGCCGCGACCTGAAAGTATAATACTACACACCTACCGATGACTACTCTCACTGTCACTGTTTTTAAATCAGTAGCGGTTGTTTCCATGCCAGTGTACGATTTCACGTGTTCTATTACACCGCCAGAATTTGACTATTGCAACGGGAAGGTCCTCAGATTTTCTCTCTACACTTATGATAAGCTCCTAGATCATGTATAACAAACAGCCCATGAGCAATCACATGGATGATTTTGAATCATCCTGAAAGAAGTTATGAAAAATCCGTTAGGATCCTAGGATAGGTGAAATGTTGACTTGCGTTTCGGGAAACTATTATCACTAGAAGTAATCGAATTCTGTATGCTAACTAGCAGTACTAAGAACAGTTCAATTCGTAGTCTTTTAGTCACATATATACAAGTCAGAGAGAAATCGGTGAGCACAATCGAAGGTACTGTATGTATACTAGTTTGAGTCCAGCTTGAATGTAGTTTGTGTACAAGGGAGCATGCAGATTAGCGTGAGTGAAGAGGGTGAAAGATAGAAGAGCAAAAGAGAGGTTGAGTCAGACCCAGTAAGCGTACACAATTCACTTACTGTTAATTAAGAAAGTAATGGAAAACAACCAGAAATAACACAAACGCAAGATTAAGACAATCCTGGAATCGAAACTAGAAGCGGATAGCTAAACAGTGCAGTATTCCGAACTTAAATCAACCGCGGAACAATTCACAAAGGAAGCAGTGTTGTGTACAAACATCACAGAACTTTGACCTACAGTATAACCCATTACTTGGAGTTCCAACGGTTTTTCAACAACTCCATTTCTCTGAGGCTTTCACTCAACACTAACTACACATTCTATTACAACAAACTTATATTTTTCTATTGCCACTACCCACCTTATGCATATAGCCGGTGATTGGTAGCCCTATGACATGGCTCCGACTTTGATGGAAGTATGAATATGCTATGAATATGAATCTTTCAATTAAGTCCGTTTATTACACCTAGGCAAACCCCTTTAATGTGACGGCTGTAATAATAAGCCAAATACAGGTTGCGTAGGATAAACTTTTTTCAAGCAGTGGTGTATCCAAATAGATCCGAAATGGAAAATTGGAGAGCACGGCGAAGAAAAGTAAAGAGTCAACTCGTTTTGTTAAAGCGTGACCCAATATCTATAGGTAGATAAAAATAATTTAAAGACGTGTCATGACTAGGGTAAGCGATACACACACATACGCTCATGTAAAATCAGTCAAGGCTAATAAGCGAATAATAATGTCACTCAAGAAGAACAAACTGATCTGTCTGAAGCTAGCATAACTCATATGGACCTGACACAGACTAAACGCTACAATTGTGAGTCATCTACAGAACTATAAAGTTATATATCATACACTGTGAAATTCATTGGACGCATTTTGGATGTCATTCTTAACCAAGAAACGTTTGTTCAGTCTAAGTGGTCTAAACAATTCACTAACATCAACCAAAGCATTCCCCGAGCTGAAACTTTGACAAGCGAATTACACCTGTTACTCCTCGTCGAAGAGCATAGGCTGCTCACCTTCATTCTCCATCTAACTCTGTCCTGAGTAATCCTTTCCAGTTGCTATTCATCCTTTTCACGTGTGTTTCCAATTCTCGACGCAGTGTATTGTTCGGCTTTACTCGTCCGTTTACCTTCAGGATTAGAAGCCGACGTTTGCCTCGAGATTCAGTTTGATGATTTCCTCAATGCGTGTCCTATCCACCCCCAGCGTCTTTTCCTAATTACCTCTTCAGCTGGAAGCTGGTTTGTTCTCTCCCACAGAAGGCTGTTGCTCGTGGTATTCGGCCAAAGGACATTCATTATCTTACGTAGATAACAGTTTATTAATACTTTTGCTATTTTGGTGGTGATTGTGGAAATTCTTAAAGTTTTAGCTCCGCACGGTAGAACTGTGTTGACGTTCGTATTGAAGATTCTGACTTCGATATTGGTTGACAGTTGTGTTTGACTACCATATGTTCTTCATTTGTAGGAATTTGGCTTTGCTTAGCCAATCCTTGCCTTTGTTTCTGCATCCGATCCTCCTTGTTTGTCGATAATGCTGCCAATGTACGTGAAAGTTCTCACCTCTTCCGGTGTTTCTCCATCAAGCAAGGGAGGACATTTTCCCTAAAACTTGAAATTATTACCAATATAAGTAGACAAACCCAAAAATTGTATGTCATTATATTTACTGATGTTATCTTTCGGGTCTAATATGAAATGGGTATAACGAAAGCTTTCCAATGGACAATCATTTAGTAAGAAATCGAGTGTTTACGGACTCAGATTTGTGTAGTAAGGACAAAAGGTATACGGTCTATGTTACTCCTTTTCTAGTATGCTTCTGTGAGTGTCCAGTCTTTTCTTGAAAAATTCAATTGAAGGTGCAGACACCACTGCTTCGGGCAGCAGGATCCAAGTATTGATGACTCGGTGTGAGAACCTGTATGCCATGGGTATTTTGTTCGTTCTCGGCTTTTCTACTCGCCTACTATGTCCTCTGAGATGTCCCGATCTCGTGAGAAGAAAAAGAGAATAAGTTAGGTCCAAAATCATTTCTCAGTGTTTTGTACATAGAAATAAGATCGTTCTTTTTATGGTAAACCCCGGAGTTCTGGAATTGCACGGGTAGCTGCCCTCAGTACTTTTTCTAAGATCTCCAAGTTATTTTTTAAACAGGGGCTTGCAGCCTGAACGCAGTTCCCAAGCTTAGTTCTCACTAAGGTTGTGCATACTGTGGTGAACATGGTAGTATCTAACTTAGTGAATGTCCATTTTAAAGTTCAGATGGTTCTAAACCCAGTAGCTGCGACCTCCAGCTAGAGAAAAGAAAGAGAATGTACCTTAAATGGTTCTCAACAACACTTTTTAGTTTATCGGACGTCAACAGATCACAAAACCCACAAACCTATGCAAACTAACACACTCAACCAGCCTCAAGCAACTCATATATGGAATGCCCGCCTTGAGCCAAGCCTCTCAAGGTTGTGGAGACGCAAAGGTTGCTGATTTGACCTGGGTATTTCCACGCCGTTTTTACCACGAGATAACACTAAGAGGGTGAGTATTTGTTACGATCAAAATATTAGATTACCACATTAGTTCATCCTATCTAGAGTTAGATTTTTGTTCTAGACTGATGTTGTTGAATACAACGAGATGAGACGGCTGACAGCCAATTGTATCAAGCATTTATATGATAGCCGAATCTTCCAATTTTGGGGAAATGTAATCAAAACCCCGAAATTCCCCCAAGACTTCCCCTAAATTTCTCCAAAATCTTATTACAGTTTGGGGAAATCGGCCTGTATTTGTTTATGAAACTGCAAATTTTTTTCACAATTTTGGGTACATTTCGAGTTTTTACCCAAAATCTCCCCTGAACATCGGGTTTCGTCACCAATATTTTCGCAGAATCTTGTTACGCTTTTGGGAACTTCGTCCCTACTTATTTACTAAACCGCAAAATTTGGCGCAATTTCAGTGATATAATCCAAACTGTCTTCATTTAACGCATTATTTCTCATTGTTCGACAGATATCACGGAAAAGCCTGTCGATAATAACTACCTAAAAGTTTTTACCCGGGTATCCCATTCTTTCTTGTCAATTACGAACAGTGAACACAGTGCCAAAGAAACCTAACGAAAATCGATCTATCTCTGAAATTAAAAGACTGATTCGTAACACATTTAAATGTTTATTGAAGTTTAATAAATTACAAATTGTTGATAAACAATAGACTTTCTATTTCTTAGTACCGGAAGTACGTTACGTAGACGTTGAACTACCATTCAAAATGTTCTACAGAAAGAAAGTCTGTTCCTTAGTTACCCAAAAAAATTTCATGGCAATCATCAAAACCTGAATGTTATGTAGAACGTTGCTGATATACCAACGGTAGAACAATATTGTGAATAATCCGAATACGAAACTTAGTTACGTTTTGGACATTTGCGAAGCCAGCTGGAAATAAGATGGACAAGGAATAGTTGTTTCAGTATAAATGTTTATCACAAACTAATATGAAAACAAAAACCAGTATTTAGTCACAAACCTAAAGCGCATTGAGCTCACCCTTTCTTTGGATCATCATCCACGCTTTTTCAATTTATCTCTTGCGTCGTGCAAGAAAGCCTGGCTTGCAACATCCATGGCGTGCGCTACTTTTTTTCCGGACAGGTTGTACTTCAGAACCGGGAACCCAGAACACCTACAAATATATTAATACTGTAGTGTGAACTTGCTTTGAATCGTCTGGTAGAATCTGTAATGACATATCCAGTTTACTACTAGTTCCATGTAAAGCGTATGTGTTAGCCATTTCCGGCGACAGCAAGTAACGTAAATATGCTTTGGTTGATTTACGGGGATCATCACACATGATCTCGTGCAATCTGGCCACCTAAAAGTTTTTGAAACATCTGTTAGAACTTACAAACTAATCACGAAACTTGAGCTCCTGCAAAGCAACTTCCAAAGTGCGCAACTCATGTGTTTGTAATGGGAATACGAGACTTGGGGTGTCTATGTGGTCGCTGCACCCTTTCTTTCACACCAATGGATGAACTTTCCATGCAATCAAACATTTTATCCATCTTTGTAGACAGATCGCTGATTGTTTTCATCATCATTTTATTGTCAACAGTGTGCAACCATTACATTAAGTACAACTTTTCACTAACTTCCATTGAAGTACATGGTAGCGGTGTTAAGAGAACCTCTGTTTTCGATGAACTACTTTATGAGCATTTATTAAATAGATACATACCTCGCTATATGTGAAAATTTTGCAGTCAAAACGTTGACCACTAGTAAGTCCAATGGTGCACACCCAGCTTCGATTTCAACAACCTCCGGTTCTTCGGTAGTGCACAAGTAATCTTTGAATGTTCATTTTGCATTCCTGACAATAAGTGAATTGCGTGCATTGAACAGCTTAACCTTTTCGGTTTTTAAGTTACACGGTAGCGTGTCATCAGTTGCTTTTTTGTTGTTATAACCTAGTGCTATAGTGAAAGATGCTTTCATTTCTTCGACCTCATGGTAATCATCTGAGATCAATGAAAGAAGTAGTTACAACTTACCGAAACGATGCGGTACGGTGCATTTTCTCAAAGTAAAGCCGCTATCACAACCAATACTTTGAAGAATTTCGGTTATTGTCACATCATCCCGATCAATATAATGTTCCTTGGCCACCAGCCATTTGCCAGGGATAACTAAAACTTGCTTCTTCTCCTTGTCATTAATAAAGAAATATTGTCCTGATTGATTCTGAAAATCAATACCATGGTTAGAAATTTTTGTCCTTGCAATGCAGCTTCTAAAGTGCCAAGTTCTGTTTCTTTAACGGAAATTCCAAACAAAAAGGCAATCCTGCAACTATTCTTGTCCTACACAACAGTGGATGAAGTTATCGTGTACTCATTCATTTTATTGATATGATTCGACAGATTACTGATCGCTTTCAAAGTTAGTGGATAAGGGACAAGTGTGCGACCTATTCCCATAAAATTTATGAATAAAACTTACTCGCTAGCAACACCGTTAGGGGGGATGATGTATTTAGCTATTGATGAGAAGTTACCAGTCAAGATGTTGACGATTGGTAACAATTAGAATGCATCCAGCCCTCGCTTCAGCTACCTGTAATTCTTCAGACGTGTACAAATAGTCATTCATTTTTCGTTTTACTGCCCTAACACTTTAATGCAGAAAATTATCAATTTATCACTTAGACTTTTCAGTTTGATACGAAAGCGTGTCATTTGGATGTGTGCGTTGTAACCGAGATCTCCAGTAAATGTTGCCTTCAATTCCTCGGCTACCTGGAAGTCATCTGAAAGATGTTTTACGTAATCACAACTTACCAAAATAATACACTACGGTGCATGTTCTTAACTAACATCCACCGTCCTAACCGACGATGTCACATCGTCCTTGTTCAGAAGCCAGTTGTCAGGGTTGGTTACTGCTTGCTTTTTTCTTTATTCTGGACGTTAACGAAAGGTTTTGGTTGGTGCTACAAATTAATCTAATGGCGTTAAAATTTAGAAATGTTACACACAATAACTCGATAACTTTTGAGATAGGTTGTCATGGGGTTAGAGTAATAACCAACGTGTAAACCTATTGCACTTAAATATTACATGTGGTACACGCCTTGACAATTGCTATCACCCTAAGAAAATGTATAGAAGATGGTGATAATAACTTCGTAATATTGTGTCGGAATTCAAATACACTTACAAAGTAGACAGGAATCACAAATCTCATGGCAAGGTTGTGTACCTTAAGTGGTTGAGATATTTCAATCATTCGTTACCCATGTTTCGTCGTCTATGATTAACAAACAGGGCCGCTGAATTGCCTACATTTCGCAGTCTGGTATGTGGCAGATCCTCACAAACAACCGTTTCAATTCCTTAGATGTAAAATTAAAATAGTCGTTTATTCTACTAGATGGTTGGTTCATTAAGCTCATAACTATGTTTGTTTTTTTAATTGTTCATAAATCAGGTTTTATTATTCTTATCTTGCAGATCACATAACCAATTCACTTCTACTGAAAGCTATCAAAAGCTTCAAAGTATTTTACTTTGTAATGCATTCTACTCATCCCCTCCATTCATCATACTCGAATTTGTTGTTCAGACAGTGGCATACCGCAAACTATAAGGTCAGTGCTGAGAATCTTGTGTATCCAATTTTCCTCAGGTATATTATATTGTTTTCTCATCCATTCAGCCAAGACCCCGATTGTGATAAAATAATTACTAGTCTAATAGACCAGCGTCGAATAGGATACAACCGAATCATCGAGTTCTTAACACCTTTGGTGAATAAGCAGCTGAAATCTGTTCTGTTGTTTGGGACAATCAGTAGAGACCAAAAAGATGCTACAGGATCAGCTTGTGATACACCAAATTCACCAGTCATTCAGGCAATCAAGTTACTGAAGTCAAAATTTCCGGATTTAATAGTGATTTGTGATGTTTGTTTGTGTGCATATACTGACAGTGGCCATTGTGGTACTGTGTAACATTTGTTTTTAAACATAATTTAGGTGTTTTACGTGATGACGGGTGCCTTGACGTACCTAGGACTCTTGAACGTTTAGCAGAAATATCTAAACGATTTGCCCTAGAAGGTGAGTACTTTTTACTAAATGTAACTGTCGTGTACTGGTTTACTTACTGGGTTATGAAGGCCACATAATACCAGAATACTAATACTATCTGAGCATATAAATCAGAATTAATTAAGTAAGCTGTCCCAACAATTGAATGTGTCTACTATAGCTTTTTATTTACTACTACACAGTGTACACTATTTAGTCGACAAGCGGACACCTCTACTACATCACAAGCGATGCAAAATGGAAGATGCCACCCGGGTTTTTTGAGTCCATGTCGGGATTCGGTTAGGCACCAACCCACTAAGACTGACGAGACCTCCAAGATAAGTGAAGTAATCAGCGTACTCACCTACTTCACTCCCTATCACTAATTGAGGCGTTAAGACAGACTAGTATTGAAGCAACATTTAGCACTTAGGGGGGGGGGAGAGAAACCCATCCTAAACACGCTAGCATTGTTGCTCAATTTGATCGAAAGACTTAATATTATTAGCGTCTTCGCCAGAAAGGAGTACATCTGCGTACTCTGAGTCTGTAAATGAACATCCTGAGGTACTAATCTACGAAAAGTTAGGTGAAGAGAGTGTTACTTCCAGTGACATCTATGATGAGCGTACATAACAATTGAGATAGTGGGAAACCCTGACGAACACCACTTAAGGTCTGCATATAGCCGTAGCCTCTAACTCGACCAATAGTGTCTAAGTGGAAAGTTTTCACAAGCTTTATGTACTTATTCGGTACGTCTTTCAATGCCAAATATTTTCACAGAATCTCGGTCAACAGAGTCGCATAATCTCTATTTATTAATATATACCGCTATGGTCAATATCGCTAAGTATGTCTGCGTTTTTAAACCTGAAGAAGGGTGAGTATTTTGTCAACACATCCAATTGCAGATCTAAAAACAGCCTGGTTTTACCGGGTTCACTCTTTATGAGCCCTAGTAAAGTGTTGGGTGATTTGATGAGTTTTGGTTTCCTCGTTATGAAGAAAATGTTCAGGATTTAGGCCCATTTAAAATCAATCCCATAAAATACACTCTCCCACCTCTCTTCAGAGTAAATAGAACGTCTGGTCAATATAGTCTTGGTAGTTAAATAGTCACTGAGGAATCTGTTATTAGAACTAATGGAGCTAGCTGCATCAGTAATCCAGATCGTGGTACAACCATTTGTGTTAAATGTAATCCATACAGTGATTTTGGGAGTGTCCGACTGTGACTTAATATGCTATCTTATTAGATGGTCTCTATAAAACACGAAAAGTTTCTTTGTGTGTAACATCATTGTCTAGCACTTCTGTAAGAAAAAAAAAACGCTCATTTAGATTATTCATACTTATCAGATATCGATTTGTCATTTAGTTTTTGACGTCTTAATAGGCTGTAGATACCCATCTGTTATACAGTTTACGTTGACTTTGTTTTTCAGGAGCTGATGTTATTGCCCCTTCTGATATGATGGATGGTCGTGTGAAAAAAATCAAGACGGCTATACAAAGTATTGGTCTCAGTGGAAAGGTAGCCGTTATGTCTTATTCGGCCAAATTTGCATCTTGTTTGTACGGTCCTTTCAGGTAAAAATAATTTTTGAGATAACCTAAAAACTTGTGTGTGTAAGGCACTGCAAACTCCCAGATAAGGTGTCGAGTTTACTGACAGTTAGGTGTTGCCTCTGTGTTTTGTGACTTATTTTGATGAATAATGGTATGTGTTTGGTACTATCAGCTGAAATAAAAAAACCTGATGTAGTCTTCATTTGACGACACAGATAAAGGTCAGTAGTATGGGATTTTTCTAGCCTTGTATTTTTCCAAAGCTTGGAAACATCAGGACGAGATTATTAGTTAAAATTCTTTGGAACTGGCCTAGCTTTATATCTTGATGCTTCAGTCGTTGAATGAGTGCTCTTTTCTATTTTGATAAGAGCTTTAATATCGACGTTTGTTGTCTATCCGAGACCCGTATTCAAGACTCTGGTGAAGTACTACAAATTTACTCTCCATCTGTCGCTTCGAGAAGCTTGTTTTACGTACGTTTATCCGGGGACTCTGTGGCATCTTCGTCTGGTCTTGCTGACGTTGGTGTCGCACTAAGCGCTAGAGCTGAGGCAGCACTAATCGATTGGATCTCCATTAACAGTCGGTTATGTGCTGTTAGATTGGAAAGTTCCATCAAAGTGAGAAGAAATCGACGTGAGAAACTATGTCTTTTCGTCATCTCCGCCTATGCTCCGACAGATTGCAGCCCGGATGCGATCAAGGATGAATTCTACCACTAGATAACTGTTTTTTTTCTCTTCGAATTCTCATTGTTTTGTGTGGCGCATATATACTTGGTATCCACTTATACCAATAATGTGTTCAAATAAATAAACAAATTATGGGTCTTTGTAATAATCCAGATACAAGAGGTTGTAATATTATATGATTTTAGTGACTAGTTGATGAAGTGGGTTTCAAACTTTTGATTTTTAGTGCATAAAATATAGTGTCTGAACTGATAACTAAGAGTGATATGTAATTAATACGTTTACGTTTCAGAGATGCTGCTCAATCTGCACCTTCTTTTGGAGACCGTCGGCATTACCAGCTTCCTCCTGGTGCCAAGGGATTGGCTCTGCGTGCTGCTGTAAGTCTTAGATGATCATTTTTCAAACTAACAGGCTGTCACTTCAAATGGGTTTAAATTCATAGACAATTTCTTAAATGAATTGGTGTTGAATTTGAAATTTGACGTGATTTTATTTCAATATAACGTTTGTTTTACTTCAAATCTATCAATAAAATGAAAGGTCCTTCATAGTTTATAGTTTACTAGAAGTGATTTCATATCTAACTTTCAGACTGGATTCACCAATTCCCATCTGTTAATCTTCATGCTAATCATATAACTTGACTGTAGAATCAAACACAGTAGCAAATCGGTTTAACTTGTCATACTACAGGATGTTAACAATCGCGCTGTAGACATATCATCAAACTAGGAAAGGTAATATGGTTCTCATTACCAAAAGTAAATTAAAACAAGCATATTTGAACCGGTTAGTTTTCATTTTTTCATTTTAAGTTAAGGTACAATTTCTATTTCAACCTGCATAAACTTTGTAAATAAAACCCCCTGAATATGTTAGTTTAATGACATTGAGGAAATATATCGTCATATGCTTTAGCATCTAATTTTTGTGCGGTCACTGCGTCATTATCATTTTTGTGTAATTATAACTGGCTATGTAGACCAATTACCACAAGTTAAGACTACATCCCCCCAGAAGCGTTAGTCAAGGAATGTTTATATAAACTACTGAGCAAACAGCAATAAACTGAATACTCTTGGACACTTACAGTGTGACTGATAATCAAGTCCTATGGTTAATTAAATTATAGATACCTTACACTGCTTCAATTTTTTTTATCTTCAGAGAATTTAATATTAACAGAGCATAACTTCGTTTATCTAATCAATCAGTTTACCCATCTAATGGTATATTCTTTTTGGATTTGTTACACAGTACAGTTTCAATGACAATATTTATGTCCTACGTTGAGACACTTAATTAGTTGCATCACATTTTTAAACTAAATACGTTGTATGATTACTGCGAAAAATCTCTTAACGTTTTTTATTTCCTTGTTTTGCTTTTAACGTTTGCGCATTCCAGATTCGCGATGCAAACGAAGGAGCTGACTTCATAATGGTAAAACCTGGTCTTCCTTATCTGGATATTGTAAATGAGATACGACAGTTGGTATGTCCATGTTGTGTTTGTTTGATGTGTCCTGTGATTTTCTTAACTCTTCGGATGTACTATCTATGCAGCATTGGTATTTCGACGATAATAGTCATTTGTTTTACAGCAAATTGTATTGATTCACACTTTCTGTGCCGTGACGTCTGATCAAACAAACCTTTGGCATGTTCTGTGATATACCCATGTTTGAAATCGCATTCGGAAGTTGACAACTAAAACATGTGCATACATTTTTAGTATTCTGAGTATGAGTTAAGAATTTTTAGTTAATCGCAAATTAGTAGGTAAATTTTCCTGTGTGAAAAACCATTTTGGAAAGAATATCGTTAAAGAGTGAACACCTTAATTTACTAAAACAGTTATAAATTATTCAATAATTAGAGACTGAATGACAGCTCAAAATCGTTTGCGATGCTGCAGGTGTATCCATTCTTTGTTTTTCCCCAAATCCTTAAATTCTAGATCTTCATAACTTTTTTGTGTTTTCACTAATTTATATTTTCTTGAATCGTATCTTCAATGTTTAATCTTTCCTATCACCACTGATACTGTTACTACATATACTATTCTGGTATTTGGCCTGACAACTTCATCTCGGTGTGCTAATGGGCTGTGACAAATTGAACCGATGTACTTACAGACTCTCTTCAAGACTATTACGTTAGAACAAGTGGTCACTTATAATAATTTTACAGACTAAGATGAAAGTTAGCAGTGCGTTTATATTAGAGCATATAAAAATAAAGCTCAAAATAGACTACTGTGGATAAGATTTTGAACGCTAATCTTGAATTTGCACACGCTGTTCAACAATCTGATGCAGTGACTTTACATTCATATAGGTTTTCCTCAACCTAAAGTGATAGTTAATACAAGAAGCAAAACAGTTACTCAGCATAGGTTATACTTCAGAATGAATTTCTCACTCATTTTATCAAAATACCCTAATTGTTTTTACAAATAGTTCTTTTATTCTTGAGAGACGATTATTACCTGTACAAGTAGCGTGTTAATATCCAGCTAAAGTTATTCAGACGCCTAGGAAAAATTAAAACAAAACTCATAATAGCTCTTACATAAATATACAATTTATTTCATTACTGATATTGTTCTTTCTATTTCAGCTACCTCATCATCCTCTAGCAGTTTATCATGTTTCTGGTGAATATGCAATGCTAAAACATGCCGCAAATGCTGGAGCTATCGATTTAAAGCAAGCCGCCTTAGAATTGATGACTGCATTCCGTCGTGCGGGTAAATTTCAGTACCAGACAATTTTTGCTTATGCTCATGAAGTAACCAATATTTTGATTGTTTAAAAATCCCCATCATCTTAAAAGACTACTATATGAACGAAGAATATTCTTTTCAATAAATCCTCTTCAGGTTCTACAAAATTGTATATCCAAATTAATAATCTGAAAAGTGGTCAGATTTAGGGCAAAGTACATCGTTTACAGTAATAACATGTAAATGTAGGATTGTAAAATAAAATTGTTCATGTTGAGATAGCTCATATGAAATGTTAACTTGCATCGGCTTATACGTTAAGTGAAATTATATGATTGTTCATGATCGGAATAAATATGGGTCAGATAAGGTGAGAGAAATAATTGTGCAATCACAAATTCGATCAAATGTCTAGTGGAAGACTATATTATGTAAAAAATTTTATTTGGAATTATTAAGAAATGGTAATGTGGGATGAATGCTAATACAATTGATCATGTATTCGAGACATTAATAATAATGCTAAACCACTAATAATACAAAGATATGCGAATAAATACAACAGACAATTGTATTTGACTAAGAACGGTTGTAGGTACATTACTCAAATTAGGTCATTCAATAGCTATGGTTATTAATTATTTAGTCCTGTGGTAAGCCAAGGTAGGAGAGGCGGTTTAAGATATTTCTTTGTATCCATCGTAATGGCTACTGCTTCCGCCGTTCGCATGCTATAACTTTCAACGTTGTACTTTGCCCTAAACCTGGCCACTTTTCGAATCATTAATTTGGATATATAATTGTAGAAGCTGAAGAGAATTTATTGAAAAGAATATTCTTCGTTCATATATTAGTCTTTTAACCAATATTTCTTGTTTGTATTAGAAATATTTTTGATGTAGATTATAATTATATATAACTTTTCTCCGCATCTTGGTAAACTATTCATAATAATTGTTGTTTAAATACTACTGATCACCCCGTAGGTATTCAGATCAAATTTATTGGTTTACTTGATGTTAACTTCAAATGATTTACATCAAAACAAAACGTATTCCCAAAGGCAACTAGTTTCATTATAACCTGTAATCATGTCTTACCATTTATTTATGAAAAAAATAACATAAAATGCAAATAAATTACATTTTTCGGATAGACTTCATTTTATCACATTATGCACATTTATGTAAAAAATTAATTATCCTAAATGATATATATATTAATTAGTACAGTACCAAAAGTGCGAATTACAAAGTGTTATCGGTGTTTTGTTAAGAAACATAATTGGAGTGTAATCACAAATCTGTGCATACCTTTCCCCTGTTTCAAAAAATTAGTCCGTCAACATAAACCTGTTTTGATCATTAGCTATATGCTGAACGATTAAAAGTTATTACCTTATTCTAACTTCAACTCAACTGCAGTGACCACCTAATTAATTTCAACAGAATTTTCTACACATACTAGTTCACACGTACATGAACTTCGTTAGTGTTACCATTTTTAGACTATTATACACTTCATAACAAGGATTTTTATTGATTGTTCGTAATATTCATTTTCTTTATTGTTTTTAATCAAAAACATACTGATGTATTTCTTAAAAAACATTTTTCCTCTTTTTTTTATTTTCACATTTTGTGTGTAGGTGCATCAATTATCATAACATATTTAACACCGTACCTGCTGGAACTTGATTTGTCTGAATCATGTAAATAATGGTGGATATTTTTGAACTAACAACCTCAACAGTTTAGATGAATGATTGACTTGTTTGCTGAAATATATTGTAGTAATTGATATTTCATTCGCTTCACAACTTTGTTTTACTGATTTTCTCATTCCATTGTAGTATCTTTTCTTTGTCTGTTAAATCATATGTATATTCTCTAAAAAATTATTCCATTCTTATGTACTAGCTTTAATTCTCTTCATCTTTCTGTATCTGTGTTTATTATCCTAGTTTATTAATAAATTGCTAGTTTAGGAATTTTGCTAAGATTGCTCATTTGTAGTGTACATCACAGACTGTCGTTAATTAAACAACTATTGAAAATCTCAAAGCACTGGATATCCGTTGTGTCTTAATATATAGGTCTCCTCAACATTACCCATATATGTCACCGTCAGATATCTCGTAGTAAGCGCCTAACCTTCATATCATTGATCTAGTATTCAATATTTCATATTTCTTTCTTCGGTTTATATGTAACAAACAAATGAATCGGGACAACAAAAAATGAGTCACCATAACGAACCACTGGAGGTATATAATAAGGAATAAGGATCCCGATCGAAGCTGCTACCTTGACGCGGTGGTCGGGCTTGCCTATCGTGATGACCCAACCGAGCTATATTGGCTGGAACATATGTTCCTGCAGGTTCTACCATGCCAGGCAGGTCGATTGGTGAACGGTAAGACTAAAAGCAGCAACTCAAGGTCTGAGGGCGAAGTCGTACTGCTGACTGTAGAGGGGTGTGACAGCAGTAAGGCTCGACTAGCTTTTACCAACTTGCGTCATTTATGGCGTAGGCGAGATATCCGTCTATCAACCAAAGGACGTGTTTACTGCGCAGCAGTTCGTTCCGTCCTACTTTATGGCAGTGAAACATGGCCGGCAAGAGTAGAGGATATCCGTAGGCTAATAGTATTTGATCATAGGTGTCTTCGAAACATTGCTCGTATATCATGGGACCATCGAGTAAGTAACACAGTTGTTAGGAAACGGGTACTAGGTAAGGATGGCAAATCAATTGATGAAGTAGTGAAACTTGATCAGTTGAGATGGCTGGGACACGTGTTACGTATGCCCAACGACCGACTGCCTCGACGTGCGATGTCCAGTGGTATAGGAGTAGGTTGGAAGAAAGCTAGGGGCGGCCAAACCAAAACATGGCAAAAGTCCATGAAGTCACTGACAAGTGAACTGAGTCATGTTGGTAGGTGTAGACTACCTGGTTGGGGACCGCGAGATGATAGCAACCGATGGTTAGAGACCCTGAATGACATGGCTCAGAATCGTTTGCAATGGCGCAGGTGCATCCACTCTCTGTGTTCTCCCAAATTCTAATCTGAATTCTTCATGTCCCTTTTTTCCTCTTTCCAAATTTATTTCACTGGATTATACTCTTTAAATAACATCTCCAAACCCTAATCTTCCCGATTACTGCTTATACTCTTGCTACCTCTACCACTACGGGATTTGAATCGACAACTGTATCTCTGTGCTAATGTGGTGTGGCAACTCGAACTGATGTACGTACGTACGAAGTTCTACGTTGTTACTGACTGACTGATATAATAAGGACGAGGAGGACGCATTTTTTTAGCTTATGACAAAAATTGGTGTGGAGAAGTGAAGGAAATTATTTTCGAGGTATTCATAAAGCTAAAAATAATGTGATGATAAGCAAATATAGCTTTTCCTGTCCCTCATATTTAAATATAGGATTCCATCTTATGCTTCTTTCTCGTACCGCTTCTGGGTAATATATCATGTTCCGAACGCGTGTTTTCCCAAAAACTCGTGTATTGCTTTAGCGTTTCCTGTATCTGGATGGAAACCAGAAGCGTTGAAGTTTTTAGTTACCTCAGGTCAGCACTAAAGCCTAGTCAATCATGATTTCGGTTACCGCTCATTGATCAGTGTAAATACATCAGCCCTACAGGAGGTTTGTCGAAACACGAACAGCTCAGTACCAACATCTCAGACCGATGTGGGTTAAAATTCCATGTGGGGGAGCGTTATTTGCATGTAAGCCTCGATGACTAGTCCCAACCAGGACAAAGCCAAGGTCTCTGTTCTCTCACCAACCACCCAATATTCAAACATAATACACTCTATGTTTAGTCACCTAAAGTAGCAACGCATTGCAACTTGATCGACAGGGTTCATTTACTACTAAGGAATCAATAGACATGGTTCTGGTTATTCTACGTAGTGATCATTCTGTATAATCCTTATTTACCAGGCATAAAATGAAAGCATATTGTGCAAAAAGCTCTTCGTTTGGTTGTGTAAGTCTCCTGGTAAGCTCAAATTAAGACATCAGAGTCCACAACAACAACTGGAATATAAATTAAGTGCATATTGGTGGTTGGACAATTGAGGGTACTGTCCTTACCTTGGAGCGGAACCTGTGTAGTGCTGGAATAACCTGCAACACCCTAGACGAATTCTCTTTGCAATCAAGCACAGCTACATTGATAGACGACTGGTCTCATGAGTGTAAGGTGAATTTTTTCTGAGACAGTTCGGCAAGTTTGATTCAATATTGACAACAAGTGTATTAAACCTCTTACGTTTTGGATCTTATTTCCAAGACATGAACATCGCATCTAAAGATCGTGTTTTGGAGTTACTATTTTCATTACAACAAATCAGTTACTAGCATCTAGTGACAAGCTAGCGTAGTAAGATGAACCCATAACATTATAAAAAATTTGTTCAGATCATAATATGATTGTTTAGCTACCTGTCTTTTTTGATAACTATGAAATGCGTTAAATTCACCGAGTTGTGCTACCTTTATTCGTTGATTGGGTATAGAAAAAAGAGTTGTTGCTAAAATGCCGTTTCGATTCTGACAGTGCAGTGCTGAAATCAGTATGTATGTTGACCATTAAAAAAGAAAAAAGTACCAGTATGATAGTAATCAAGATGCCAATTACGTGGGAAATATTGTTACTTTTTTCATGTCTTTAGTGAGCTTATTGTGAACTAAGTGGGATTTTATATATCACCACTATCACAGACTGATAACGTTTTGATCTACTGTAGTAGGCTTATTCTGGTTTCTAGACAAACCAAAAATCGCACTCATTCCCGTTATTCTCTACGCTTGTCGTTTAGAAGAGTATTAAAATAAAATGAGTTAAGCGCTTTACAGTCAAATATATAATTGGAGTGTGATTGATTACTTTGTACTTACTCATGAATAATTGTGGACTCTTACCTGTGTACACTCATACACATGAATATTCGTGTTTTTTCGACGACCTATCGGATTAGATCTAGGTATATTTTGGTTCAGAGCATTTTTTACATACATATATGATGTCACTCTCTATACACACCTCACCTACACATTTGTTCACGCATATAATTAACCCATTCTTTGTCTGTCTGCTTGCTCTAATTGAGGACATGACTGGTTGGAATAAACCTGTTAATATTTTGTGCCATCACTTATCATTACACCGGAGGCAAATGCAATCACTGAGTTGTTTAAATCAACTCGTCATACCGAGTCAATGGGTTCTTTATAAGGGCTGAGCATGCCAATGCTAAAATTAAATACGGTTAGAGATCAAAAATATATCTGACTGAAATGCTTAATTTCTACCTAGAGGAGATATTCTCTTCAAACGTAACAGTTGAAAGGAAGGAAAATATTAAGAATATTCTGGAGACTTAATTACTTACTCCTGTTACCCCTAGTGAAGGAGCATAGGCCGCCAACCAGCACTCGCCATCCAACCCTGTCCTAGGCAATCCTTTGCAGCTCTTTCCAGTTGTTATTCACCTTTTTCATATCTGTTCTTTGGCCTTCCTCTTCTCAGCTTCCCTTCACAATTCCAAGTTACAACCTGCCTCGTGATGCAGTTTGATGATTTGCGTAATGTATGTCCTATCCGTTTCCATTGTCTTTTCCTAATTACCTCTTCAGCTGGAAGCTGGTTTGTTCTCTCCCACAGAAGGCTGTTGCTGATGGTATCCGGCCAATGGATGTTGAGTATCCTGCGTAGACAACTATTTATAAATACTTCTACCTTCTTGATGATGGTTGTATTAGTTCCCCAATCGTCAGCTCCGTGCAGTAGCACTGTGTTGACGTTGGTATTGAACATTGTGACTTTGATATTGGTTGAAAGTTGTTTTGAGTTCCATATGTTCTTCGATTGTAGGGATGCGGCCCTTGTTCTGCCAATCCTCGCCATTACGTCTGCATCTGAACCTCCATGTTCATCGATGATGCTTTCCAGGTATGTGAAGGATTCTACATCTTCCAGAGTTTCGCCATCAAGTGTGATTGGATTGGTGTTCTCCGTGTTGTATTCGAGGAGCTTGGTTTACCCCTTATGAATGTTGAGGCCTATCGATGCAGAGACTGATGCTATACTGGCTGTCTTTATCTGGATTTGTTGGTGTGTATGCGATAGGAGGGCTAGGTCATCTGCGAAGTCCAAATCGTATAATTGATTCTGAGCTGTCCATTGTATTCCGTGTTTTCCTTCAGATGTTCAGGTCTCCATAATCCAGTCGACCACCAGAAGAGAAGGAAAGGGAGAGAGTAAACAGCCTTGTCTGACTCCGGTCCTTACTTGGAATGCATCTGTCAGCTGTCCTCCATGCACTACATTGCACTGTATTCCGTCGTATGAGTTCCGGATAATGTTGACAATCTTCTCAGGAACTCCGTAGTGTCGACGAAGCTTCCGTGATGTACTCCTATCTACACTGTCAAGTGCCTTTTCATAATCAATGAAGTTGATGTACAGTGTCGAGTTCCACTCAACTGATTGTTCGACGATGATCCGTAGTGTTGCAATTCGATCTGTGCACGACCGATCGCAACGAAATCCAGCCTCCTGAACTCCAAGTTCAGCGTCTTCTGTGTCTTTCATCCGGTTCAGCAACACTCTGTTAAAGACTTTCCCTAGTATTGACAGTAGTGTGATGCCTCTGTAGTTTTCATATTTGCTCAGATCTCCTTTC